AGGAATGATCACTTCTTCTTCAGGGCAGGCTACGTAGTACGCAGGCTAATGTCCCACAGTGGCTGCCTCTCTGGTGGACTCCGGTACTGCACATTACTCCCGAGACGTTTTAAAAAATTAAAAAATAAATGTATTTTTTTATTTTTATTTGTTTAAGTGACACATCCGGGGCTTTTCAGAAAACATCCGGGGCTTGAGTCCAAGTAGCCACCCCCTAGCGCCGCCACTGAGCCTGATACTGTAGATTAGCACTGAGGTGCTGATTGGCTCAAACTCTTCTTCATCAGAGCGCCATATTTCAACCCCCCCCAATTGCTCTGCTTTTGTGTGGCTCATTCAGTGAGCACTGTAGTTGATCCCCAGTGAAACGGAGGCTCATCTGCCTGCATTCCTTCTGCTATCTGCTTGAGAGCAGTGCAACTGCGGAGATGCATCCAGTGTGTCCCCCCCCCCCGTGATGGGAGAGGTTAGGAAGACATCAAACTCCTCCAAGAAACAAGGAACCTTGTATTATAGAAGCCGCTGAAGCCCTTGCTCGTCCTGCAGGGTTGTCTGCCTGAGCCCACCGAGCAGAAAGGTGAAGTGAAGCATCCCATCTCATCAGAAAGTTGAAGAGTAGAATCCTCTCATCTCGAAGACCTCGTGCTTCCTTGCCCGTGGCTGGGGTGCCCTCTGCAGCCGGAGAGTGTGACCCTCTCTCTCTGACCCTTGGCCTTCAGAGCTGTCCTAGTTATTGGGTTCACACTTGATAGGGATGTTTTCCTGAGTGCAGACAACTCAAAGTAATGGATTAGCACATTATCATTTAATTACAAAAATAGGATAGGCCCCTCAGAATTATATGGGAGCCTTCCTGACACATGCACATGCATAAATGTAAGGTTTGTGTTAGTCATTTAACATGCAAGAATCATATACTCATCAGTCCAAAGCAGAGACATGTTATTGTAAGTTAAAGATGAGCTAGTCCCTGTGGATATAACCCCTTCTCAATGATTCTAAATGTTATATTAATTCACCATTTACCGTTTGATAAAAGATTAGTTTATCAGAAATACATTTCTTCTTCCATAAAACATAGGTTTGAGAAATAAATGTTCCAATATGAAATCAATTACTCAATATAATGGACTCTTCCCTCCCCTTTCTTACATATTTTACATATGAAATAATAACTTAGGAGTCTATTTAAGCATGGTATAGTTTATAATCTATTACTCGAGAAGACTCAGTATCACCTGTGTGCAACTAAAAAAAAACAATCGTGAGAAACATATATTATGCAGGAAATTCATACATTAGTTGAAAAACAAAGCATATCTGATTTGGGAGGGAAAGCTTCACCCCCTTAACATCTGAGTCACTACTGATGGCATAGCATGAACGATAGTGGGTGTCTGAGGGTGTCACTACTGAGAAATGTCAAACAAATTCAAAACCTTACATTTGAAAAAAGGTTTGCATTCCTCCACTTAAAATGACGTTATCATTGGAAACAATAAAAACGAACTGTTTTGATGTAGAATCTATCAATTGAATCGTTAGAGCAGAACAGAATGGTCGTATTGTAGCCTGAGTTTCGTGCAGCCTTTAGTTTTACCAGGTGGAAACATGGTCTACATAACGTGAATACATGCAGAACTAGACATTAAGAGGCCCCTGACATTAGGCTTATTTTAAAAATAGTAGGGGCTTTTAACAGCTTGCCAACCTACAGGCATCCTCTGCATAGCAGTATGAATACCCTTTTAAAAAACAACCCACTCTGCGGTAACGAGAGTGATGTATCTGAACCAAATGCCCTAAGTGAGTCATCAATGTCTCTCTTTACCTTCGGCCTAATCATAAAACAAATTAGTGGGAAAAATGTGGAACACTAATCCATCATCATGTGAAATTTCGAGTCAATTTAAATAATTACTTATGGGTTGAAATCAAATTAACATTAACATTAGAACTAAAGTCAGTCAAAATTGGACTTGCACGGATCAGAATCTAAGCAATACACCATTTTCCCAGCTCTGTAATGAAAAGGATAACAAGATTAGGTACATTACGGGAGTGTTAAAACACCCAAACATGCACACGTATCTTATTCTAGTAGAGATTAGATGTTGTGAACGAAATTATCAAGTCAAAGTTGTATTTATTTTATCTTATGTACCACATTTAATTTAATAATTAATCTTGAATTACCAATAACTCTAAAGAAGGCAACAATTTACAATGCGGATAAGGTCAATACTCATGCAAAGTGTGTGTGTGTGTGTGTGTGTGTGTGTGTGTTGTGTGTGTGTGTGTGTGTGTGTGTGTGTGTGTGTGTGTGTGTGTGTGTGTGTGGGTGTGTGTGTGTGTGTGGGTGTGTGTGTGGATGTGTGTGTGTGTGTGTGTGTGTGTGTGTGTGTGTGTGTGTGTGTGTGTGTGTGTGTGGTGTGTGTGTGTGTGTGTGTGTGTGTGTGTGTGTGTGTGTGTGTGTGTGTGTGTGTGTGTGTGTGTGTGTGTGTGTGTGTGTGTGTGTGTGAACAGCTTGTCTGCCCAAGGTTTAAAACATTTGGGACAGCAGTGAGAATGTTATGAGAAACAAGTTGTTGCTTAGACTGAACTCGAAGGAAGCTAGACTGGAACATTTTATATAAATCAAAACACTTGTACATTAATTAAATACATTTGACATTTAGCTCGAGCTGGGTTCAATACTTTTCTTATGGTATTTTGAAATTGGGCTCGAGTAGAACCTTTACATGGATTTGGCTTGCAACACAAAGTGATACTGATCTCTGTCTGTTAGGGTTTGGAAGTCTCATGATGTAATGTCTATGGAGACCAATTGGTTGATACTAGAAATAATTTGAAACAGTTTAATAAAGAATGTTAAACTATATTTAAAACTGTAATTGAACTTCAACTTATATTAATTATCTGAATCCAGTGGGCAGTTGGAATAGACCATCAACAAAGTTTCCATTTTGCAGCAACAGCGCAAAAGGTTTCAAGTATTAATACTAATAATAATTAGTATTATGTCTGAGTCTAGTTCTGTCTTACCTGCTTTGTTTCGGAATGTGTTCAATACATTACGTTTTTTATTCATTATTACCATACAATACATAGATTAAGAATAAATGAAACAAATAATACAACATTGACCTAATTGAGCAGAGAGATTTTTCTTTTTTTTTCAACCCTGATCTCCTCAGGCAGGTATTTACGACCAGCAGTGATGCCTCTGAGGGTCTCGGGGCGCAGGACGGGGCATAGGGTTTATACAAGGTCACAAAGATATCTTAACATACCAGCAATACAATTTAAAATGTATTCTTAAAGCAATATAATCTTCTTTTCTTCTTACACCTACAACGCACACCCTGAACACCCTTACATTTTCCCCCGCACACTCAGAGGCAGGACATAAAAACACTCTTTTGATATTTATTTTCATTTTGCAGCACATTTATACGACCAGAATTTTGCTTTACATCTTCATATTATTTATTTTTCTCAAGTCATTTACTTTTGGTGAGATAACTAAAGTTTAGTTCATTTTACCACTTAAATGCTACATTTCAAATGTTTACAATCCATCACTAAATTCATGGCAAACCAATTTTAAGATCATGCAATAACACTAAGACGACATTAGTTGCATTGAACTGATCTTTTTAATAAGTTGTACTTACAATATAGTGAAACATGGGCTTGTGCTTCACTGAGGATCTTTGTTATTCTCAGTGACAGGAAGGCCACTGCAGTTATTACACTTCGCGTTTTGAAATATGTGTAACTCTGTTAATATAAAACCCACTGTGAAGGTAAACTTCTGTTGTTGCAATGTTGAGGTAGAATGAAGGAGTCTGGAACCGTTGTTAGCCAAAAGCACTGAAGAGTTTTATTGATCACAGTACATTAATTACATACGGCCGGGGAGATCATCTAAGTTTCACACATGCCCAGTGCTCCACCAGCGATCTCTGAACCAAAAGACACAAAACATCTAACCAACATGAGGAGAGGCGGGCTTCCAGAAAGCCCGCGTATAATCAATAACCGATGCAAGACAATGATCTGCTTGTCTCAAAGAGATCCTGCCAGGTCAACCCTCGGACATAGGAGACGCGTTTGACCTGTGACCTCAACCCACAGAGAAGTCTCTGACTGACTACAAGCAGATGTTTGCAGTATCACAGACTCTAAGGAACCATAAAAGACTCTATAAACAGATCAGATGAAAATATTCTCTTACAGATTCACTCTTTTTATCAATCTATTGATAACCAATTAACATTAGTCTAAGAATATTTCAGTCAATACTTAAAATCAATAGGCGTCCTCAGAGTTGGGTGGGCTCAGATACATTCATTACATTAAAAATAGAACAAGATTGAAAAACACTTCAATCACCATGATTGAACACAGTCAATCATAATAAAATCATCTCTCTTCAGTGCTTGGCATTTTTGTCAAAAGGTACAATAATAAACACATGGGATACAAAATATTATAGCAAAATATATGTTTCAAAAATAAGATCTTTTATCATTTATCACTCAGTTAATCTCCTTCATCAAACACAGATTCTAAATCAGCTTACATCTCAAAGATTTACTTTAAGGCAATTACTTATTAAAAAACACAATTAGGATTATAAGAAATCAATTGAGGTATAATTTAGGATTATGAGAAATCCAATTGAGGTATAAATCAGAATCATGAGAGATCCAGCTAAGGTTCCTAGTTTAAGGTATAAATTCGCAGTGATGAATCGATCAATCTGTAAACTGTAAAGTTACAGTGTCCTCAATCTTTAACATTACTTTACGTTTACTTCATTACGCTTTATTCAAGAGTAAGGCACTTAGTAATACATTTATTTCATTCAAATACACTTGTTCAAAATCTGAAAAGGAAAATCAGACATTTTATTTGTAAAACAACCTGAAAAGGAAAAAATCAGACATTTGTCCTTTAATCCAGTGTATCAACTGTAATCAATTATCAAAACATCTGTTCTTTATTCAGAATATCAACTTTAAACAACATCTCAATCGTTGAATGGAGGTACCCACGGGTCGGAGATCACGATGGAGACCCAGGGGTCCGGAAGCTCGGCATTGTACATTAATATTGTGTCCTGTACAGTCGAATGTCCAACTAGCCTTTGTGGGGCCTGGAGGGCAGTCTTGGCAACCCTTCGTATGGCTAATTTAACCACAGTGATCAAACAGATCACTAGGATTAGCACAACCAAGATAAACACTGAAACAGTAACAACAAATTTAACCAGCCCCGCTCCCCAAGATCCAAAAGTTCCACTTAATTCCCCAAATGTAAACCCATGAGTTTCATGCAATTCTTTTATTCCCCTGGCAGTATCATGAGCCATGTCCATAACTTCAGGTGTGGCATCAGATATGAAAGAACAGCACTCACTTCCTATCACCTTGCATGTTCCTCCTTGGGCCGCTAAGAGGAGGTCAAGCGCCATACGATTCTGTAGTGCTACTGTCCTAACTTCCTGCAATTCTTTGTGTTCAGCTAACATCGCTGTGTTGGATACATTTAAATGATGTTCCACCACTTTAGACAATGCGACAATTTCCTGCTGAGTAACATAAATACCGTACCAAGGCAAGAATAGGCTAGCTATCTGTTGTCCTTGTGTAATTGACCTGCTGTTCCTGTGTAGAGAGGGAAGTATTGCTGCAATCTCAGTAGCCTCTACTTTACGGATTAAAGGGATTAGGTATGCTAGATAACAGATACCATAAAAAACATCATATGGCACACATCCATAGGCCCGGTCCCCACAAACTAAGTAAACTCTCTGTGGGAGGGGAATTCTGGCTATATGTACTCTCACTATGGCATTACAGTCGCTGTGTCCCACATCAGGAGAGGTGTGAGATCCTACTGCATTCTGGAAACAGATGGACACATTCTTCCATTCATGTACAACAATTGGGGGGACATATACTGAGCAGTCACGTGTAGGGGGCTTGCCTAAGGGTATTGGCTGCGTACAGTCATGTATTTTAACCTCAACGGAGTCCACTGTCCTAGAGCCGAACCAGGGCACAACTGTTACCAACGCTTCCACTAACAAAGCGGGTGTGTGTGGTTGCATTGTACATGTTGGACTTGTAAAGTTAGCTGAACAATTAGTCTGAGCTAGAGCTAACTGGAATCTATATTCAAAAGCTAGGTTAACGTATTTCTTCATATATATTAATTTTAAAAACGTCAACCGTTTGAAACCGTCAGGCAGGTAATCTTTATTTACTGTATCAACAATGAGAGAGACTAAGCCCTTGTACTGTAAAGGTTTTTCAGAGTCTATTGGGTAGGAAGGAGTGTAACAATCCCCAGCCTCATCGCTAATTCTAGATGCTATGTCATTCCAGTTTACTAAACCGTAATCAGCTTTTGTGAAAGGAATTGGGCTAAACATAGGAGAATGCATTGATTCTGGCATATTTTGGCACAACCAACAGTTGCTAACATTACGTTCATGTGCATAGTCTAACATTAAACTTACTGCAGAATTAGTTTTAGTTTGTTTATAAGGAGTAATTAAGGCCTTTTTTGAAGAATCTACCTCGCCTCCTGATTGTTTAAGTGGAGTAGATGGAACATTTGTTTTGCTATTTGGTCCAGTAACTGTGCATGCAGTATCACCTAGATTGGGAATGCGGTAATCTGGCTTCCGCACTGTACATTTTACCTCCTTCCTTATCAGTGCCTCGAACCGTTCTATCGTGCTACACCACAGTTCTGGGGGCATTTCTTCGATGGTGTTAAGAACCATCCTTACCCCCTCTGGTGCGACCCTGAACCAAGAGTACTGGTTTTCTGGATATAACTCCCATGTTGAGTAAACTGAGAACACAGGAAACACAATAATACAGTTAGATGAGTCACATATTGAACTTGGGCAGTTAACGGCAATAGTCTCTGACTTATGATCAGGGAGGGAGACAATCCTCCTTATTCTCCCTCCTTTTCTCTCTCTTTGTGTCTCTTGCACCATACTGAGTGTCTGTGTGGTGTTTGGATACAACCTGTCCTTGTCGCTAGGCACTTCTTTGCCCGTTGGTGTTGTTTTGCCCTCAGGGTCTGGACCCTGAGTGGTCAAGTCGTCTGCGCTCTTAGATAAGAGCACCTTATTTTCTCCCTCAGATGGGCGAGGTCCCTCGCCACCTGTCGTTGGGATTGTCACAGCTTCATCTAGCAGGGCGTTCTTGGCCAGGTACAGTAAACCCAGAATAACGATGATGGTGACTGCCTTCACACGCCAGCATCCAGTAGAGGAGAGAGACGACATCTTGAAGCGTGAATCCACTCCGCTCTACCTTGTACTCTCAGGGCTGTTCTGGTCACTATTAATACCTGGAAAGGACCTTTCCACCTGGGAGACAAAGAATATTTTTCAAGCGATTTGATTAGTACATTATCACCAATCTGAAAAGGGTGGGTGGGCTCCTCACCAGGCTGGGGGAGCCTGTCAGCCACCTGCCTGTGAAACTTTCTCAACATGTCAGTTAGATATTTGACATAGTTAGTCATGTAATCCTCTGTCCACAAAAGAGTGAGTCTGTGGGGCATTACTGGAGGACTAGATCCTGTGAACATTGGCCTTCCCATCAATACTTCGTGTGGGCTGAGCCCTGTCGTTGCATTTGGTGAGTTTCTGATTGAGCACAGAACTAGCGGCAGCGCGTCTACCCATTTTAGTCCTGTGGTCAACATTGTTTTAGTGAGTTTTTCCTTTATAGTCAAGTTCATTCTCTCAACCTGGCCTGAGCTCTGTGGATGATAGGGAACATGCAATTGCCATTTGAACCCTAACACTGTAGCTAGACTCTGGGTTATCTTAGAAATGAATGCTGGACCTCTTTCACTGTTAATCCCTGCTGGAACACCAAATCTAGGGACAACATCTTTGAGAAGACACTTTACAACTGTTCTGGCGTCTTCTTTTCTGGTAGGGTAGGCCTCTACCCATTTGGAGAACTGGCACACTATTACCAAAAGATATTTGAATCCTTGGCATGGTGGCATGTGCGAAAAGTCAATTTGCATATTTACAAAGGGCCCCGAGGGGGGCGGTAAATGTTCATGCTGAACTGGACCTTTTCTTCTTCTTGTCTGCTGGCATATCATGCATCTATCTACAAGGGTCTGTGTAGCTAGTGTAATGCCTGGAGCAAACCATTGTGACTTTATAATCCCATTCATCCCTCCTTTTCCTACATGTGATTTGCCATGTGCAACATGTGCCAAAACATGGAGGAATGAACGGGGACAGACCATCCGGCCGTCTGGGTGGAGCCACAAGCTGGACTCAGCGTCAAGTGTACAACCTCGTCTTAGCCATAAATCTTTCTCCCTAACATCAGCGCGGGCTTGCATGTCCGCGACATCATTAAAGGAAGGCAAACAAATGGTTTCTGCGGGTTGTGTCGAGGGGCATTGGAGTACCATAGAAGAGGAGGAAACTGCTGCTTGTTTAGCCGCGGTGTCGGCTAACGCATTTCCACGCGAAATAGGATCATTAGAATTTGTGTGAGCAGCACATTTAACTACTGCTAGCTGTGCAGGGAGCAGGATAGCGTCTAATAGCTCAGCTACTAACGCATGATGTTGAATAGGCTTACCAGCCGATGTTAAGAAACCGCGCATTTTCCACAAGACACCAAAATCATGGCACACACCAAATGCATACCTGGAGTCTGTGAAAATGGTTGCAACTCTACCTTCAGCCAAAATACACGCCCTGAGCAGAGCATACAACTCTGCAGCCTGAGCTGACGTGCCATTTGGCAAGGCTCGGCTTTCTAAAACTTCCCAGTCATTCACAACAGCGTAGCCTGCTAAGTGTACTGTGTCAGACGGCTTGCTCGCAGACCCGTCTGTGTACAGAATCATATCTGAATTAGGGATAGGGGTTTGCAACATATCAGCTCTGGGGGAGGAAGACATGTCAATCGTTGTGACGCAGTCATGTGTTATTTCAAAATCTGGAATTGGCACCAGTGTAGCTGGGTTTAGGGGGGGGGAACGTTTAAGAGTGATGTGTGGACTTGAAAGAATTACAGCTTCATAACCAGATCGCCTTGCTGCCGTCATATGCTGAGTAGCAGAGGTGTTCAGAATATGCAAAACTGCATGTGGGACATGTACTACACAGTCACTGGCCAGTACAATGGGAGAGGATTGTTTTACCACTATCGCCACTGCGGCCACAGCCCGCAGGCATGAAGGCATACCAAGCACCACAGGGGAGAGTCGAGATGAGTAGTATGCAACAGGCCGGAAATTAGAGCCATGCTTCTGCACCAAGATGCCCGTTGCAAAGCCCCCCCTCTCATGGACGTGCAGGTGAAACGGCTGATGGTAGTCAGGGAGCCCCAGGGCAGGAGCAGATGTGAGGGCCTGCTTTAAATCCTGAAAGGCAGTGTGCATGTCCTCAGACCACTGAACAATGTTAGGGGCAGCCTGCAGAGTGGCAGCACGCAGGACAGAATCCATCGCAGCGTACTCAAAAATCCAGTGTCTGCAATAATTTGCCATGCCCAAGAAGGAAAGCATGTCCTTCTTTGTGCGAGGTGGTGGTACTTTGTTCAACAGACAAATCCTTGCTGGCGAGAGGAGACGGTGTCCATCCCTCAGAATGTGACCCAAATACGTGACCTCAGTCTGGCAGTATTGCAACTTGGCCAGGGATGCTCTGTGTCCGCATTCAGAAAGTCTTTTCATGAGCAGAATGGAGTCGATGCGACAGGCGTCTTTATTGGGAGAAGCTAACAACAGGTCATCTGCGTACTGAAGCAAGGTACTACCTCCTGTCAGGACCAAAGTGTCCAGATCTCTCCTCACAGCTGCTGCGTACACAGTAGGCGACTCAACAAACCCCTGTGGGAGGCGCGTGTATGTGATTTGTTTACCTTTAAAAGTAAATGCAAACAGATACTGGCTGTCTGGATGCAGAGGAACAGAGAAAAATGCTGAACATAAATCAATCACTGTGTAGTACTTAGAGTCCGGGGGCAGAGAAGCTACAATCGAATTGGTGTCCGGCACAATTGGAGCTGTCGGAATGACAATAGCATTAATAGCTTGCAAATCTTGGACAAAGCGCCACTCATCAGGGCGATTGTGTTTAGGTATGGGTAGAATTGGAGTATTACAGGGACTAGTTGTGTAAATTAACACGCCCTGATCAAGCAAAGATTGGATGACTCCTTCAATCCCCAAAATGGCTCTATGGGGCAAATTGTACTGTCTGATAGCTGGCAATCTGGCATTGGCTTTAAGTGTTACTCGATGTGGAGGCGCTGAGGCAACAAAACCAACATGGTTCTTGTGTTTTGCCCATAATGCAGCCGGTACTTCTGAAAAATCTGAGGGGGGGGCCATACTCTGTGGGGGGGTTTGGTTGTAAATGAAGGAAAGTGCATTGTGGAAGAGCAATTGGCTCCGCGAGACGCAGCAGGAAATGCTCCCCTCCAAAGTTAATTACGTTAGGCGTGTGTGTGTGTGTGTGTGAAAAAAGTGAGGCTTCTAGCTGGGCCTGGCAGCGGGCTGCCATGGCCCCCACCTCTTTTGGGTTACTGCCTGGCGTAACAGCCACCGTTATGTAGGGGAAGCTTTCTTCAACTTGGAGAACCTGCTGGGGTGTTGTGAGTCTGATGGGTAAAACACATCCTTGTCGGGAAATGAACAAATATTGTTCACTTGTCAACCGATCTGATTTGTTGCAAAAACCTCTTACTGATTGCGCGTAGTCATCTGACGGATTAAAGGCTGCTGTGCAATGACAATTCAACACAGGTCGCATAAGAGACATTAAAGACGCACAAACCGGAGAAATGCTAGCAATCTTCTGAATCCCTGTTGTGGAGAAAACAGAAATCATATTGAAATCTGGAAATGACCAACAATAAAGGTTGTCTCGCGATGATTGAATGAATTGGACTGCCTGATAGACCTTACTGTCAGGAATTGTCAAAAACAATCCGTCTGAAGTGCAATGTATTGTTGCCTGTAATTTACATAGTAAGTCCCTGCCCATTAAATTAATGGGACTTCCATCTGAAATAATGAAAGAGTGTTCCACGTTTGATCCATTAATTGAAACATTAGTGGTCTCTGAAATGGGTTCGGACATAGAAATTCCAGCAACACCGATGGTTGTGACAAATGTATTGGTTGCTTCACACACTTTCTCCTTAGTACGCACGGCAGACAAGGTGGCTCCGCTGTCAATCAAAATATCTACAGCCATCCATCCATCCATCCATCTTCTCCCGCTTATCCGTGGTCGGGTCGCGGGGGTAGCAGTTCCAGCAGAGAGCCCCAAACTTTCTTTTCCCTGGCGACATCAACCAGCTCTGACTGGGGGATCCCAAGGCGCTCCCAGGCCAGCGAAGAGATATAATCCCTCCACCTGGTCCTAGGTCTACCCCTTGGTCTCTTCCCAGCTGGACGTGCCTGGAACACCTCCCTAGGGAGGCGCCCAGGTGGCATCCTAACTAGGTGCCCGAACCACCTCAACTGGCTCCTTTCGACGCGAAGGAGGATATCTACAGCCGTACCACTAAAATCAACGGGCATAATTGGATCTTCACGCGGGTTATTGGAAAGGCGAATTGTTGCTGCTTGAATGGGTAAATACTTTGATTCTGACCCTATATCTTCTTGGCACCACTATCTTTTATTAAATCCACTTTGTTGAGCGTTCTGCCCCTGGTTCTGTCCGTCATAACGTGGAGACTGCATTAATGCCAGATGTCCGGACTGCTGGGGAAGGTTGGGGGGAAGTGCGGGCTGGGCGAAGGGGGGCTGGGTGAGGGGGGGCTGTGTGTGCTGCTGGACCACCCACCGCTTACCACATTGTCCTGCCCAGTGATCGGTTTCTCCGCAAACATGACATGGCATCAACTTTTTGGGATTTTTGTTCTGTCTGCTCTTATTATGATAATCCTGTGATCTCCCCTGATTTTGATACTGCTGTGTGTGGTTTTGTCCCTGCGTTTGATAAGCCTGGGTGTTTTGAGGCAATTGTTGAAGCAGTTGTGAAATTCTGGGAGTAAGAAATATTTGGCTCCTATGCAACGCACGCATTGTGGCGATAGTCGCTTTCCAAGATTTAATTTGCCATTCGGGAGTCGACATCATGTAGGCCTGAGCCGTTTCTGGGATTAAATTATGTAACAAGGTCTGTATGGCAAACAAATCATTACCGTCTCTTTTAATTCCCGCATTATTATCCCACACTGTCATGAAACGCTGGATAAATTCTGGGACATTTTCCGCTGGGTCTTGTACACATGCCGTCACTTGTGAGAAATCTGTGTGAGTTTTAGCGCATGCTCTGATAGCCAATGCGGCGACGTTTTGTATCCACATGTCTCGCGTCTGTGTCGGGGGCCAGTCCCCTGCGGCTGTACACTCAGGAAATTTAAACTCGTCTCTGCACGTGGGCCAATCTGCCTTGTATGTTAAGATTATCAGCTGTTTAACATCATGAACCAAACAGTTATAAACTGAACCAATATTAGTCAACCATGACAGATACTCATCTGGACTTTTAGTGGGACTGGGAGCGTGGTTAGTGACATCAATGACCTCAGCGGGTGTCCAGGGTTTGCAAACTGGAACATCTCCTATCAGAATTTTCGGGGCGGTCACACTTTCTTCAGAATTATTATCCTGAGATGTTTGCTTTGTCGTGTACATTTTACGCTGGACATTACTTGGAAAACTGCTGCCGTACGGCGAACCTGGGTAATCTCGTAAAAGGAGTGGCTGAGTGCGATGAGTGGGGGTCAATCGCGGACTGCCATGTGAAACATTCCCCTCCCCCGCTGCTGCCCTCTGCTCGGCGTGTGCCGATTCTAATTCTCCATGTTGTCCTATCTGATATCTCAACTTATTTTCATTCATGATAGCTGCAGCTGTTATTAACAGATCATCATCGGAGTTTCTCGCAACGGGATTTGAGAGTTCTGTCGCGGGAATTATTTTCGTACAGAGAGATACAGCCTGCTTTCCGTCCAACAGCCCTGCGTCTGTCAAAATACAAATGAGCTGAGATGGGGTTGGAGTTTTACCTTGTCTTTTAATCCAATCATAAATTATGGATTTTGCAATGTCTGGAACATTCTCACGTGTCTTTCCCTGAATCTGGACATGTTTTCTGATCTCACATCAAAAGCAGCCTCTAGGCTAAGCAAATGAAAACTTTTTGCACATTGAGCAACTTTATCAATCAGCGCCTTGAGCTCAATGGAGCCTCGCTCGCTGCCAACAGATTTTGCATTTTTCCTTTCTTCATAACCCCGCTTTTCTGCCAAAGTCATCCAGGCTTTCACACATTCTGTCATGTATCCTTGATCCCATGAACAATTTGAATTATCTTCCACCAGTTTAAATGCTTGCCACAACACGGCCATATCAAAACTACCTGTCAGAGGCCAATCAAATCGAATCAATCCTTTCTGATTAATCTGTTGTGAGTGTTCGCAAAGTAACGATGTAAACGGCATAACTTTAGACCAATCCAAAGTTCTTCCGACAATTCCAGACGGCATGTTTGGAGAAAACAAATGCGTGTAGTGGTTTTCTGCAATCGGGTTTTTTGTAAGTGTCTTTGTGTGTGAAATGGCTTTCCTCTTACCAACTGAATCGTTTGTGGAGGCAGTATTACCCATGTTTAACGGTTAGTACAATAAAACAAACACTGCAATTAGACAAACAAACATGTACTCGCAACAAAATCAGTGCCCTGGCCAAAAAAATCATCCAGTTTAATTTAGTCCGAGAATTACGGAAAACGTCAACGGGAGCACTGAAATATCTGTTTAATATGGGCTCTTCTCAGCCATATTCAATCTATTGATGAGCAATAACTACCTTATTCTCAATCAAAACCACTATGCAAATGTAGTGGTAAAACTGCTCAACCGACCGAGAGCAGCGATTGTTTTAATTAATTCAGTGCTTTTTTTTTTTTTTTTTTTTTCTTTTTTTTAAAACAACAGCCAATTCAATAATCCGTTAGTTTATTAAACACAGTGTGAACGTAATATTCTGCCACGACCCTTCCCATTTAATAGCTCAATTTAGTTCTTGAGCTTATGGTGTGATTAACAGAAAATACAAGTCTGTGTTCTTAAACATTACTCGTGTGCCGTTCACCACAGGGGGGAAGGGAATTCGCCCTCCCTCGTGCAGCCTGAGCAGACACCCGAAAACGGATAGGTCTGATTTAAACCCGTTGAAATCTCCAGAATTCGGCAATTTGTTTCAATTACAAATCCTCACATTGCTTTTTTTTTTTAAACAGAGGTTCCACCTTGCTGATGCTTTCCATAAGGTCTCTCCGAATATTTGCAGTGTGTGATTGTCCAGTAATTTAATTCTAGAAACCACACACAGCGGAAATCGTTAAAAGTCGATGTTCCGAGGTTATTTATTAGCCCCAAATATTCTTATTGTTTATACATGAGCTGTGCTTGCTTTTGTTGGCACTTGCCCCAGCAGCATTCACAGGAAGAACCGGCCAAGATAGAAATCTCCTTTTGACACCGATTACTCAGGTTATAATTAAGCCTTCAGATGTACATAGTGGAGAGACCAAAACAAATTGCACTCGCGCAGTTTCACAGATAATTTTGATACCGTCAATCACAGAGTCTGGTAAGGCAGTTGTTCAAATAGATTTGAAAAAAAGCACTTACCAGCCTTCTGAAGAAATCTCGGCATCCTATTCGTAGACGCCAAAATGTGAAGGTAAACTTCTGTTGTTGCAATGTTGAGGTAGAATGAAGGAGTCTGGAACCGTTGTTAGCCAAAAGCACTGAAGAGTTTTATTGATCACAGTACATTAATTACATACGGCCGGGGAGATCATCTAAGTTTCACACATGCCCAGTGCTCCACCAGCGATCTCTGAACCAAAAGACACAAAACATCTAACCAACATGAGGAGAGGCGGGCTTCCAGAAAGCCCGCGTATAATCAATAACCGATGCAAGACAATGATCTGCTTGTCTCAAAGAGATCCTGCCAGGTCAACCCTCGGACATAGGAGACGCGTTTGACCTGTGACCTCAACCCACAGAGAAGTCTCTGACTGACTACAAGCAGATGTTTGCAGTATCACAGACTCTAAGGAACCATAAAAGACTCTATAAACAGATCAGATGAAAATATTCTCTTACACCCACACTGCTCAAACTTTTTTTTTCATTAACATAAAAATAAATCTCACGTACCCCCTGCAGTACTCCAACGTACCCCTAGGGGTCCGCGTACCCCCATTTGAGAACCACTGCGAGAGACCAGATAACAGGGGAAAGAGATGTTCCTTGAAGGAAGAGGGAGGGGGTACTGAGTAGCTGGCAGCCCCTCCCAACAGTGTCCTCACTGCTCAGGGACCTCCACCTTGTTACCAGTTCCAGGGCAGTAACAGAGTAGAGATTGCACACCTACCTCAAGAGTCAATGTCATGCATATCATCAGTTATTCTGGTCCATATCCTTTAGGAGAGTGTGTTATGATGATTATCAGTTCATTTTGTGATTATCATTAAAAGAGATGTTAATTCTTGTTTGAATTGTGTCTTTTACTGTCTTTACCAGCTGGGAAAATAACTTATGTTAACCACAGAGCTGATGCTTGAAATTCATTTGTTTTCTTCTTGTCATACTAGTGCTTAAAAGAAGGCTTTTTAGCCTTGAAGTGGATGTTTTATAGACAGGTCCCTTGTATCTAGTTAAACATAACTAAAATAAAGACAAAGTTGCTTATCAAGACAAGGCAAGTAACATTTACTTGAATTAAGTCAAAAAATCTTCCATAGAAAGCACTAGATAAGCCATTTAAACTCAAATCAAGACAAACTAGATTTAGAATCTAAATATAAGATTATTACACCTGGTTAGATCTGCAGTTTTTGCAGTGTATGGACTGATTCATTATTAGTTGTTACAAAGCATACACAAGACGGCGGGTAGACAAACCAATATAGACCCCCCACACAAACAATTAGACAAACAGACATGAACTCGCAATAAACACCAGCGCGACAGCAAGGTTCATCCAGCTCAATTTAGTCCGAATTAAGAGGTTTCAGAGGGGGTAGGGAATTATAGATGGGGCACCTTGACTCGCGCGTCCACCCTTGTATACAAGTCCTAGATCGTGCCTGAAGACCGTCCAAAAGCGAGAACTAGCTTATCCTCTTGCGACACCACTACTCTATTCTAGTGGCACTATGCCCCCCCGACCAGGAGAACATAGACTTTTTTCCGCTACCCTTTCTCTCCAACAACAGCACAGTTAACTGTAGTCCTACACGACCAGCCTATACACCCACCATCGAGTTCATCTCAACGATGAAACACAGTTTTGTTCTACACTTGCTTACCACTGCCCACCCGTGATCAATTAGCCTATAATTGTATGTATGCACCCCGGACCGCCACCAGTTCCTCCAGCAATGTAGGGAACGCTCCTCCAGCAATGTAGGGAACGTTCCTCCTGCAAGGTAGGGAACTGTGGCGCATCGGGTGATGCACGCACCTCATGCTGCCCCGGCCTTACCAGCAATGTAGAAGACGGTCACAAACAACGAGTGCTTTTAGACCATCTCGTTTTTAATAGAGACGGCGGTGGTGTGAGTTAAAGATATAGACAAAAAGCTGTGACTTTCTCCCTCTCAGCTGCACCGCTCCAGCCACCCAAACACGGGGGGGGGGCTGCTGCTGGAGCCGTGCTCACAGAGGCGATGGGGGGAAATATCTCGGGCTGCTTATTTATAACTGCTGTGTTGGCCGCTGAAACCCCAGAATTCGGTGATTTGTCCAATACAAATCTTTACATTGCTTTCATATAGAAGCTCCACTTTACTGATGTATTTCTTTAAGGTTTCTCTAAACATGAGCTGTGCATGCTTGTATGGTACTTTCGTCCCGAGCAGCATACACAGAGAAAATCAGCCAGGACCAAAGTCCCCAGACACTGATCCCCTGGGTTTACTATCCCCAAATTATCATCAACCAAAAAACGAACTGCTCAGTTTCACAGGTAATTTTAGGATACCGTCAATCACAGATTCTGGTATGGCAATGTCCAAATATGGATTTGAAATTACACTTAACAGTTCTGAAAATGTGTTGGTATCCTGCTGACAACGCCAATTTGTAAGGGAAACTTCTGCAGCAATGGAGAGTCAGGACTCAGAGAGACACGAGGAGAGTTGGAGCTTTGATGTCAAACACTGATGTTTATTTACAAGTATCGGCCGGAGAAATTCACATCACAAGTCACAGAGCAGCCAGAGGTTCTGACTGCCCGGGTGGATTGCCATGTCAAATCTGACCAGCCTCTCTCTCGATACACCTTTTAACTAGTTTACAGAGAGTTAATCCACATATTGGGGGATGGTGCGTAAACACTGGGAACACTGGAGATATCCCCGACATCTGGAAATACTCAATCACCTGCCTGACTCTTACCCCCAAAACACACCAGGAGCGTCTGCGTCGCGTTACGGCCGCGCCGCGGCGGTTGTAAGGATCGCGGCCACTCTAGTCAATGGGTGCTATTACACCACACGCGCCGTGTTACGGCTCAGACGCGTCCCAGAAGCGGCTCGGCGCAGCGCTTTCTCTAAAATTAGGATGAATCCTATTTTTGCCGCGGTGCAGCCGTAAGGTAAAGTCGGGCAGGCAGCCCCTCCTCGCAGGAAGTGGAAAGGTGAGCATCCGGGCCAGGCCCATCCCCCACATATACTAATTTAGCAGACCCCACAACACCTCCACTACGAAACGCACCATGGACGACGAGGTGTTCAAAATGGAAGTGGAGAAACACACAATTGTATATGATGTAACCAATGCTTTTTACAAGGACAACATCAGAAAGGACAAGGCCTGGTTTTTAGTCGCTGCAGTTTGTGGAGTGGAAGGTAACAACTACATATTAATGTTTTAAAGTTAATTAATACTTGTAGGAATATTACAATTATTATTAACTGTGTCTGTAGTCTACAACACAACAAAATAGGAAATAACAACAATAAACACGATTTAAACAGACACAAACATAAACCATTTAACTACGTATAGCCTACTTACTTGTAGAAGTACAAATGTCCAGGAAATATTCCAAAATCAACAACAACTGCGAGGCTGCACACACGACGCTCCGCTTCCGCAACGTTTTGAAACGCGTCTGGTGTGTGTTATCGCAGGAGGAGGTCGCAGCGTGGCGCAGCCGCAACGTAACGCGGCGCAGACGCTCCTGGTGTGTTTTGGGGGTTAGGCTCTGTGACCGAGAGATGACCGGTCATAAAACTGAGAATGAGTGCAGCAGCAAATTCTTTAAAGGAGATAACGAGTCAGGGTTGGTCATAAACGTCAACAGGCAGAAAGGTTAAATATCTAGAAGTAAAGACAGAAATATCCTTTGACAACACCTATATGCCGTGAGCTAATTATCGAGCCTTCATTGCAACAGTACACTGTGTATGTGCATGTGGGGAGTATTGCAGTAGAAAATTCCACTGTAGCGATACATTCATGGGAAACCCTAAATGTTTGAGCACCCTCTATGAAAAGTCAAGCTACCCCACAGCACCCCCAAAATAAATCTCTGGCACCACCACTGTGCCTGCAACCCCGTTTTGAAGAAATGTGCAGTGCAAAACAGGCTTACTGCAGCCACTAATGCTGTGATAAGACACACTTTTTTCATTATTTTCATTTTTTTGCACAGATTGCAAGGTGGCAAAGTATTATAACTTATTGTTCTAGCAAAGGGATTACACAATTGTATTATGTATTTATTTTTTGAGGAAACACTTATGGAGCATTGTTTTATTATCACTGTTCTAGCTAAGTGATTTTTTTATATTTTTTTTTAAAGGAATGCTCACATTCATATTGATGTTAACTTGGCCCATTACGTGACTATTTGTGTTGGGGGGGCCCGACTTGTTTTTTTTCTCCAAAGGGGGGCCTGACGGAAAAAGTTTGAGAACCACTGCATTAAGACGAGACACGGCAGGCAAAAACATCGTTTTTCATGCACTGGTCAATTTTGAGATTTTGTGCTATTTTGATTCCATAAGATGTTTTCTTTAAGGCTTTTGGAAGGAAAACCTACAAAATACACATTTAGGTGTTTATTTTACTATAGTTTGTCTATTTGGAGGCGTGTGGTGCAGTGGGTTGTGCGTTGGTGTTCGGATCAGGAGGTCACAGGTTCAAACCCCACTGCAGTCAGCATGTCGTTGTGTCCCTGGGCAAGACACTTCACCCCAAATTGCTCCTGTGGGGGGATTGTCCACAGTATTGAGTATGTAAGTCGCTTTGGATAAAAGCGTCTAACAAGTGACATGTAATGTAATGTAATGTAATGTACATTACATTACAAAAACTTAACTTTAAAATCAGGTATTTTTTTTTTTTTAAGTTCCGGTGACATAGGATACTTTTATAAAGACTACAAAGGTACTATTTAGTGGATTAGTAATTCATCTTTGATAAACTTCCTAATTTTATCAAAGTATTTAAGAAACATGTCACCAAAAGACACCGAACCCATAGGAACAAGACAGGGAGAAGGGAGGGGAGGTTTTCAGAGAGGGCCATAGAACCAGAGAAGGCAGGCCAGACACCTCCAACAATGTACGCTCAGGAAGAACCAGAGAAGGCAGGGCAGACACCTCCAACAGTTCAAACTAGAGTAGTGCCAGAGAATCAGATGCAGAACAGACAAAGAGGAGGAAGAGGTTTACGGTTTGAGGGATGTTACTATTAAAGCCAAATGGGCCATTGGTCCAGAGATTGTCCGCAACTACTAATGCAATACCCACCACAAGCACCACACAATGGCCATCCATGCAGTTACCCCAGGGGAGGTTTCCATGACTACGACAGAGGCAGGGGGTCTCAGCGATGTCAAAGAGGAACAGGATTTCCAAACAGCCTGGTATTGAGGAAGCTCAGAGAACCAGACCACCAGGTGATGCATCTTCAGCCCAGAAGGGTATTTTGAAATCCAGCTACATTGAGCCACATCTGTCACCACAGGAGTGAGAGGTTGAATGTTATTTAAAAGATAGTAAGTAGCATATTGCATTTACATATAAAATATCCACAGATTAGTAGAAGATTAAAACATAGTAGAACATTAAGCAGACTATTT